TTTATCTTTCTTCTTCAGACCCATGTCAAGAATCAACCTTGTCTCAGATGTTTAGCTAGAGATCTACACTTCATTCCCTCTTGTTTATCAATCTTGTACTTTGGACAGTCTTTTTAGCACAGCATTCAGCAGCACTGATCCTTTTCTTCAGTCACAATGTTCCTAAATTCATGTCCTTTTTTCCTTCCAGGGATTCCAGAATAAACATTCTGCCTAATCTCAACAATTCTGGTTCCTAGATCTTCCTAAAATTTTGATGCTGACTACAGTGACAGTTTCCCATCTTTTCCCCAGGTTGTCTTAGGAGCATTCTAATATTTGAATTTATTACAATCAGAATATTTACTCCATGGAGTGTCAGCAGCTTCCCCACTGCAAATAAACTGCAACACAGAGGGGATCAAAACATTTCATTTTTATTGGCAACTTATATTATTGGCAACTTTAATTATATAATAATTAAAACAAAACAAGCAATAATTAATACAATTATCTGCCATCCAGAGTCACCTTGAATCACAAAATGGCTGGCAAATAAATTTGATCAATGAATTAGTTAGTTAGTTAGTTAGTTAGTTAGTTAGTTAGTTAGTTAGTTAGTAAGTAAGTAAGTAAGTAAGCAAGCAAGCAAGCAAGCAAGCAAGCAAGCAAGCAAGCAAACAAACAAACAAACAAACAAACAAACAATGCTTGAAAGCCATTGTTAACTGTATATTCAAATTTTGATTTCTAGAATAGTAGGAAACTGGTTGTCTCTGTGTAAGTATTTCTAATGCAGACACACTGTAGTTCTTTTAGGCTTCCAGAAGGTTAAAGAAGACTAATGTGAGTGATATTGACAGAGTTTTTAATGTAATCGCCAGATGGAAGCAGGCCCAAGATGTTTAGTCTACAAAGGACTGTGTCAATTGTATGGGCTACTTTGTAATTTATTGTGTAGATTTTTCATTCTTATAGTACACATGTCTTCGTCTTCATAAAGGAATGTTTAAAAAAAGCAGAAACTTGTTAACCAAAAGATAATTAACACAGACTATGAAGAGATAATTAAAACTTAACACATTGTATTAAAAGTTGTGACCTATTAAACCAAATATAATTGCCACATGGAGCCCACCAGATGTTCCCTAACCTTTCTTGTACTTGTTGCTTGCGCTGGATTGCAAAAGCAGGTGACTTGTCAGTCATCTGTCAGCAAACATGCATGGCTGATGGTCCCCGCAAATCATCCAAGGCTGTTGCTTGCTGGATGTTTGGCAACCTCCCATTTTTGCAGTCTCATGTATGGATTGAAATGACTTCTGCCTAGAATCCCAATGGAAGCAAATTTTGGAATCCTTGCAGTGTGAAAGTTAACCAAAAGAAATTGCAGTTAGTGTTCTCAGAAAGAGAGCGCATGGGGATGGCAAACAATTTGCAACACTTTGTAAGCTTTAAGAGTTGATTAAACAGCTCTGTTTTTTGTTATTGTTTAAAAAGGTGGGTGTTAAGAGTCTTAGACTGTGCAGTTCTTTCTCATTATTTCTGGGAATGACTGTGTGACTATCAATTTTGGAGGTTCCAGACACTTGCTGGATCAGATTATAAAGTGTAAAAGCCTTATTTTGGTTTGCTAATCCCTAGCAGCAAGACTTAAACATATTTATTAGCAGAGCTTAAGGAATCTAACTTGTTTTGAGAAACAAGAATCAAAGTCCAGAATATTCTAAATTAGTCCTACAAGGAACAACCACATTTTTTCGTAAGGAAAATGGACTTTAAAATCTTATGCACCAGTGGTGGGATTCAATCAGTGCAATAACTGGTTTGCTGAGTGCACGCTTCACACATGCGCAGTTCGTTTTCAAACCGGTCTAAAAATTTCCTTTGTGCCGCCCCTATCAGCTGGGCTTCAAAACATGAAAATGAAGGTCAGTATAGGGCAGGGGCAGGTGGGCGGGCCTACATGATCATCAGAGAGAACCGGTTTGCTCTCAGCTGATCGTCGGAGCAACCAGCTCACCTGAATTGGTCCGAATAAGCTGAATCCCACCCCTGTTATGTACATGAGAGAGAGAACAAATAAGGTTTCATGGGAAAATGGAATTGGGCAGATGAAAAGACAATGCATCATCTCACAGGATGTGGCATTTCAATAATTATTTATCCCAAAGTTTCTGTGCATGAATTGTAAGACACAAGAGAATCTGTATGACAGCATTGGAAGGAAAAGAAAAGTTCTCTAAGTAACAGAAAGGTTAAACATGAAGGGCAGTAGGGTGAAATGCAGCTAAGATTTACAGGCCTCAGAACAAATGTGAATAAATGTTAGGCCTCTAGTCTCGAGTGTGCATAGAAGAACTAATTACAGAGACATAAATCTGTCATTGCTGCCCTTTGTCATTAATATAATATCTGTTACAATTGGCTGTAATTACTGCAAAGCAGACAAAAACACAAGGTATTTAAACAACAGGAATCCCAAAATGCTAAAATACCAGTCAGTCCTTCAGTGCAAAAATTGGGGGACGGGGCATAAATGATGGGCATAATATAAATACAATTAAACAGGCATAAATATGAAATATGCCTGGGCACAGACTGAGTTGTGGGCAGCATGGCTCTCCAGAATGTGGGCACTCATGCAGTACAGGACAATGAAATGTAAGTCTGCATTTTTTATATCTGTGAAGTTAACATTTAGAGATTTTGGTTCCCTTCCAAAAACAAGTGTGGGAGAAGTAGGAGCACATCCTTCCTGCTTTACCCTTATGTCAAGCAAATCTGTACATACGTTCATACACCAATGTATTTCTTTTCTTTCTTTCTTTCTTTCTTTCTTTCTTTCTTTCTTTCTTTCTTTCTTTCTTTCTTTCTTTCTTTTAAACAAATTATTAAATTTCTACAAGCGATAAAATATGAAGAAACAGAAAAATAGGAATTAGAAAAAGGAAAAGAAAAGCTTTATTATTATTTTTTTAAAAGACCAAAATTAGGACTGCTGAAAAGGAAAACAAGAGCAGAAGAATGGATGGTAGAACTGGCTGAGATGATGAAAGTAACTACTTTGATCAAAGAAAAGATTATGTCTAGCTTTGGTTCTACCTGGAAACCACTTTTGAACTTGAAACTGAAAGAAATAATACATTAATTTGGGGATTTCATGATTAGAGCTATTTATGATTATAGAAATATTGTGTACTAATGTTGATTCTAGAGGAAGAGGTTAATGTATTTCATATTTGTATCTGAAGAAAGTTGGAAGTTACCACTATATTTCTATATATCCCTTGTAATAATAATTTTCTAAACTAGCATTAAATTACATATAAAATAACTAAATAAATTCTCAAAAATAATAGAATTAAAAGTAATAATTCTAAAGGGAGAGGAGCAGACTAAAATGTGAAGCAAAATACGTTATTATTGAGACTTTGATAATTGCAGAAGTTCTTGCTTGATATGAAAGAGAGCATAAGGATGATCCAATTTGGTGGAAGCATAAGTATATGATGGATAACATGGATAATCATTTAATTCAGGTCATTCATTAATTATCTAATTTAGAGCTGTTCAGAAACTTAAAGGTTAAACCCAACACTTGACATTTTGTCCTGGATACGGTTGAGAACCTGGACTGCTGACAGAATAAAAGCTAGCATCTGGCTGAATTTACAGGCCCATTGACTAATTTAGTAAGCCAAGTGACATTTTGGTAGCTATTGAAAGGCAGAATCATATAAACACAGTATTACCATCATGCAGACTTCCCTTTGAATACCCAAATTTGCGGGAAGGACCACATATTCAGGACTTTCCGATTGGCTAACAGGAATGGGGTTAACCTCACTTTTTTTGGGGGGGGGGTGTTCCAGAGGGCAGGAGCCAAAACAGAAAAAGTAGTCATCTGAATCCCGTCAGATGGAACTCTTTATCAGAATGGGACCAGGGGGAAATGATCCTGGTTCGGACCGGATCACCCGATCCGGTAGCGATGGAGGCGGGTGGTTCAGAGAACCAGTAGCAAAAATCCCTGCCTCCCCCATGCCCAGCTGAGCCACGCAATCATCAGAGGCTTTTTTTTTAAAAAAAGCATTTTTTCTACAACCTCTTTGGCTGAAAAAATGCTTTTAAAAGTAAAAAAAAAAAAAGCCTCTGATGAATCGTGGGGCTCAGCTGGGATCGTCAGAGGCTTTTAAAAGCATTTTTTCTACAACCTCTTCATCCAAAGAGGTTGTAGAAAAAATGCTTTTAAAAGCCTCTGACGATCCCAGCTGAGCTGCCTGATCAGCAGAGGCTTTAAAAGCATTTTTTTTTACAACCTCTTCGGCCAAAGAGGTTGTAAAAAAAATGTTTTTAAAACAAAAAAACCCTCTGTCACTCAGGCAACTCAGCTGAAATCCCCAGAGGCTTTTAAAAGAAAAAAAGCCTCTGCCGATCAGGCAACTCAGCTGGGATTGTCAGAGGCTTTTAAAAATATTATTTTTACAACCTCTTTAGCCGAAGAGGTTGTAGAAAAAATGGTTTTAAAAGTTAAAAAAAAAAGTTGGCCACGCCCACCCAGTCACATTACCCCACCACCACCAAGCCACGCCCACAGAACCGGTACTAACAAATTTTACATTTCACCACTGAATGGGACCCACAACATACCACCCTCCAGGGTGCTAATCCCAATTGTTTGAGATTAAGTCTTTTGTTTTAACTGCAAAATAATTCATTTTTCTTCCAAACCCTAACATTGGAAAATAAATTTGATATTAATAGTTGAGCCAACCTCATAACAATTTTAAGGATGTCAGCAATCCCATTTCATAAAAACAAAAATATTCAAATTTCCTTTGTACACAGGAAGGATAAAATTCCAAAATTCCCAGAATGGGAGGAGAATAAACATCTGTAGCTTCTCTGCTTCTGCTTCTGCTGCACAGATCCACATGGTCTCATCTCATGGGCAGAGTTAACATGATAAACCTCACTAATGGATTTGGGAACTGGAGCAAATAGTCCTGAGAATAATTGCTGTTTCAGATCTCTGAATTTACATTGAGTAAATTATACATTGAGTAAATTGATCTCTCAATTTACATTGAGTAAATTATATAAAACAGATTTTTAAAAAAATCAATGTACAACAATAGGATGTTTGGGGAGTGAGAGAAACACAACTGGTCCCCCTCGGCAAAACTGCGAAAAAGTAGTTAACTTGCTGCTGTTTAGAGGTGTGGTCCATGAGTCCCACCATGCCTTGCTGAACATGATGTGATTTGTAGTTCAATATACTCGGGAAGGCATCCAGTTGGAAAAGGTTTTGTACAAAGCTCTTGTATAACATATCTGAAAGAAATGGATGCAGAATTTTTTTTATAATAATGAGGTTACCAAAGACACTCCTTTTTTCTGAAAGAGAAACTAAATCTTTGAGTATCTACCATTACTGTGTAATAATGCCATCTTTTATGGCTTTCATTTTTTTAAAAAAATGTAAGCATTTCATTGATGGGAGAAGTAACAAATGGTAAAGGTTTGACATATGTATTTCACATTCCTGACTCTGCTTCTTGCAAGCAATTAAAATACTTTAAGCATGTGTAACATCCCAGCGATACTTCAGGAATCTAAATAGGGATTGTAGCACACAGTAAAGATGTAGTAAATACCTTTCTAGTCCAAAATCAATGCCATCGATTGCCATTAAAGCAGAAAGCTAAAACAATGAAGAGGCTTCTAATTTTCAGGCTCCTCATTCAGCTGATTATCTTTCTGCCTCCTCTTCCTCCACCCAGTGAAAAACATCATTAAATGGCAAAAGCAAAGAGCATATTGAGAGCCTAAGTGTTTTATTAATTCATCATCAGAATTATCTTGTGCATTAATATTAATAGCATCAAATTGGATTTCATTTAGAGGGTGAAATAAATACGCTGATAGTAAAAGCTTGCAGGCCCAATGAATCATAAGGAATGGGCACTTAACACAAAGCAAGAATCAAAAATAGATTTGATAAGTTGTGCTGACTTCCTTTAGCAGAGGGGCACCTTATGGGTAGAGTTTCAGACAGTTTTGAACATCACAGGAAATTTTAACTTGGAAAAAATGGACCCCTCTAAAAGTAATAGGTTGGTTAAATAGAGTAACAATAATATCACTTTCCCCATTTTTACATTATGTATATACTGTACTACTACACTTGTATGTTCTTTTTTTTTATTATTTTCAGTTGTGAGATGCAACTTGATAGGCTTCAAAAATTTTAGGCTCAGTGTCTTTCAAATAGAGGTCTGAATCTATGTACTGTAAGGATGGGAAGATATGACTGATGGAGATCAAGCCATCCAGCATCAAGGACTACAGATCACATCAAAGTTTCCTTCCATATAATAATGTGTCCCTTAAGTGAGGCATTTTACTCTTCTTCATGTGAGAGTCTAGACCAGGGGTACACCAACCTTTTGGACCTCAGGGACCACTACATTCATAATTTTAAATCCCACGGACCACTTATATGATCTGCCTATTGACCGGCTGGGTGGCTGTGGCTAGGTGGTCATGTGACTGGGTGGTCATGGCCAACTTGATGTCACTCACATTGAGGGGTGCTTCGCCGGCCTCTACTTGCCCCTCCCCTCCCAGCTTCTCCTTGCCTGCCTGCCCGGGCTCCTTAGGGCCCTAACAGGAAGCAGTTGTTGGAGCTAAGCAGTCACCACGAGAAAGAGTTGGCAAAACAGTTCAGTTCAATTTGGATCTGGCCAAGAAGGAGGCTCAGCAGAAGCACTTCAGTGAGGACTACGAGCATAGGCTTTCCAAGCAGAGGGAAGACCTGCGGGAGTGCAAGGCCATGTATCGGTGCCTGCAGGCTCAGTGGGCTGAGATGGTCAGCCAGTTCCAGGCCCTGATGCAGTCTCACTGGAACAAGGCCCTCTGGCTCTTCACCACCAGTGGCACTTCCCTCCAGCTTTCACCCAAAGCCTTGTACCAGGAGTCTGAAGCAGACACCAAGTCAGAATTTCTGCCCCCCTCTAACCAGCACAAAAAGACCCCAAAGGGGGAGACTCTCTGCAGCAACACAAACGTTCATTGCATGTATCTGGCCCAGGGGCCGTAGTTTGAGGACCCCTGATTTAGTGCAATATAAAAAATGCAAATAATTTTTCTGTGGACCACCAAAATTTTCTCGTGGACCACCAGTTGGTGACCACTGGTCTAGAGGCTTTAGAAAGAATAGAATAAAGATGTACAAGAGGGGACACTACTGTAGTGGAAAACAAATCCACTCCAGCTTCAAACCTTTAATATTTAAGGCTGGCTGGGGAGTTTAGTCCACTACTTAGCTCTAAGCACATAGAGTTGTTTTGCTTTGCTGTGTTGAACAATGGTTATGCTATTTATTTACATAGTATACATACTACATTTCTGTTACATTGTTCTGTTATCTATGTGCCCACACTCTTAACAAAAAGCTGAAAATAGTCTTTGAAAAGACTATTTTCAAAGAGCATTTGGGACTATGGAATGAGGAGTGGTTGCACTATTATTATTGGTATTATGATGGGGATGTAACAATAAATAGTGATAGTACTCTTGGTTCTTTTTCTGCTTCTTTCTGCACTACAACAGCAGGCTAATACAACAGAGGCAACTGACTAAATTATTATAATTATTAATCTTGTCTTTCCCTCCTTGGCAAATAGGACAATCTCATCAGAGATGAACAAAATCAAACTTTGTTTAAAAAGAAAAGCTATTATTTACTTTTATTAAAATGTAAATAATGCAAGCTAAAGAGCTGTTCAGATTATGATAAAACTGCTGTTTCATACAACAGTAAATACAACAACCCCCCCCCGACAGACCAGATGAAGGTATTAGTGTGCTAAAACAACACATTTTGTTTGTTGATTTGATGTTTCAAATCAATACTGTCAATTAACAAAAAACAAACAAACTGCTAGACAAGTGTGTTGCCTTTATAAAATTGTATGGGTGACTTTGCGCAAGGCTCTCTTTCTCTCTCTTCCCAACCCTACTCGCTATATTCTTGTTGTGGGGGAAATAGGAAATGGTGGCACTGATATGTATGCTCCCTCAACTTGATCCAAAATAAAGGGGGGATAAAAATAATTAATACATAGACTAGTTATTCCAAGCTGTATGATACTGAGGTTTGCACACCAAAGCATTAAATTGTACACACACTGAAGAAACAAACAAAGGAATAGGGGCACAGAGGATAGGAACTGAATGAAAAAATGAAATATTTTTGATGTGTCTACCTTTACTTTCCCTGACAGCATTACCATACTGATACCAGGCTTCAGTATTGGGGGAATTGTACCTGAATTGCAGGTGCTATCAGGAACCCTCTTTCTAAAGTCTTTGCTTTTCCAAGAATCTCTAGCCAATAACTACTTTGCAATAAAGAAATGCCTCCTCCTTTTGATATCTTCTGTCTTTCAATGGAAGAAGGTTGTGACTTCAGTGTCAAAGAAGGCTTAGAGTTGTAAATTTGTTAACACACTATTTAAATAAATGTCTGTAGCTAGCATACAGGTGCCATAACCAGGGGTGGGATTCTACCATTTCGGACCAGTTCAGGCAAACCGGTAGCTCCGATGATCAGCTAGGAGCAAACTGGTTTATTCTGACGATCAGCCCACCCACCCACTCCTGCACTTTACTTACCTTTATCTTCTCAGCTGATTGGTGTGGAAGAGCGGATTGTTGCGCCTTGTGTTATTCCCAAGTGGTAACACAGAAGGTTAGTATTTGTAAAAACTGCACACGCACAAAGTGCGAAATCACTGAACCAGTTGTTAAACCAGCAGCATCCCACCACTGGCCATAATCTACTTTCTACTGGTGTATTATTCCAAAAGCTCGAGAAAGAAGTGGCAGACTGCCTATAAGGAGCAGGTTACCATTGGAGCTGTGAATATATAGTCTTGGTTTGTCTTACCAAATATAATTGAATATGCTGTGCGCTTGGCCTGAGATTACTGTATCGGAAGGATGAGGTGGCTACAAAATATTCCAAGCAAACCAAAACCCGAACCAGGAAATAAACTGTGTCTACAATCAGTAAAAAAACAAAATGTGGTCTGTTGGTGGAAGAAGTTGAAGAAATAAGCGATAGAAAGTTTATATTGAAAAGGTTGAGGAGAGGAACATGCTGTAGGGTTGAGTAGCGAAGATCAACCCTGAATCTGAAACCACTAATGTAAGTGAGTCTGATGAAAAGAAAATCGATTCTGGGTGAGAACAGATTACATTTCAATATGGGAGGAGAATAAATGATACATTGGCTAAATGCTGGTGTTTTTCTCAGTCTCCTGGAGAAGGATGTGTAGTAGCTATAGGAAGATCTAGAGGAGGAAATTCCATAGGGGCTTTGCAAAACCAGGTGAATGGGCTGCTCACTAGCAGATAATACTCAGTGTTGACAAAAGCAAAGCAATGCCCATTTGAAAGAATCATTTGAACTAATCTCATGCATTGGTGGGTTCTAAATTAAGTGTAACAACTCTGGGAAAAAGCTCTAGGCATAATTAGATAACTCAATGAAAACAAGCAGTGGCCTAAGAAAACAGTCTGGGCACTCTTTAGGAAGGTATAGACAGGGACTATTATGCACACAGAATGGAAACAAAGAAGTATGGAATAACTGTTAAATGTATTACATGCCAGAAAAGGCTGACCTGAACAACAAAACATGGTTTCTTTTTTCTTTAAGTCAAATCAGGTTTTTCTGCCTCAATTATATTAAGGAGATGTGATGGGTGCCCAGTGCAGGAATGGCCAATTATTCACTATGAGGGCTTTAGAATTAAGGTTCTGTTGATCTAACAAAACTAATATAAGACAGAAAGAAAAATAAGTGCTTTGTTTATTTTCTTTTAAAAACCTTAGCTAATCGTCAGCCAAAGCTCTTCAAAAGTGGTCACCATTCATTTGCTTTGGTAACTCAAGCTCTCACAAAGTTCAGAAGCCCAGAGAATATCTTACTGAGAAAGTCAATCTTAGATTCTGATTTCATAACTTACAAAGATTGCCAGGCAATTTCTTTAAATATCTTCCATGTTTTTAAAAATTTAAACCTTTGGGGCAAGTATTAGACAAATCAAAATAAAGTTTGCTTCCTTACTAATCTTTGCTCTACTACTTAATTTAATTTATTTTACATTTTAAAAATTTCTCTATTTAGTTAGAGCTATTCATGATTTCAGGATTATTCAATATAACATGGTTGCTGGCAAGTCCCCCCCACCCTTTCTATCTGCCCTGTAGGGTGGCCAGCAATGGGAGGAATATGACTAATAGAGCTGGTTTTAGATGACAGC